CCGGGCTGGCAGCTCCCCTCTACAGCCCCTCAGAGCGCAGATCCCCAGGGTTAAATACTGAAGGGGTTAAAAAGACGACACACGACTGCATGCGAGAGCGCGTTGCGTTTTTCAACACAAGGGAAAGGATTTCTAATGACTGCAACCACCTCCATTTGAATGTAAGGCCAGGCTACAGTGAAATGATGCTTTATTAATTATTCATTATCTATTAATTATGAAGCCCGATAATAATAGGATCATTGTTCGTGACACCAAGTGTCTACACAGCATGCTAATTAGGCCCCAGGGGTCATCATCTCCCTTCCTCTTACTCCCACTCAGGGCAATTGATCTGAGCACTCTCACCTCCCCGCCTTGCCCCACACGCTGTCGGCCGAGCACTCCACGGCAAGGGGCTTCCTTCCCTCCCGCCGCCCAGGGAGAAGGTGGGAACCGGCGCAGCCGCCCTCCCTCGCACCGCTACAGCCTCTGCACACCCGCACCGGAGTCAAGTCTGCAGGCAGAGTTACGTAAAACCCTGCAAGAGGGGTTCCAAAAGGAGGGAAGCAAGAGGCCGCATTACGCTGGGCTCGGCGCTAGGATACGCCCCTTCAGCTCCCAAGAAATAAGAGCAGAAAAACCAAACCCAGCTCCCAAGAAACAAGAACAGACCAGAAAAATAAAACCTAGCTGTTATTGATAAAACAGACCAATTTCTGCCTCGGAGAGCGCTGAGGTTTGGAACCGGTTTTAACGACCACCCTACGCCTATTCCAGGGAAAGCAGGATCTGGCCCCAAATGTTACGTGAGACTGGGGGACGTCAGCCCCAGGCAAAGGTTCACCTCCTGTCTCAGGGCATGGGAAAGCTTTCTCTGAATGCACCGAGGAAGACTCTCTGCCCTTCACAGAGGTCAGCAGCTCTTTGGCTTAGTTCTGGGTTGCATAAATACCCAGGCTAAGAGCCAGGCATGGCTCTGGAGGCCCCGGCGAGCTGGTGGCTTGCCAGCATATATAACCACCTTAAAGGAGAAAGGTGAGGCTGTAGCATCTTCTTTTGCTTCCCAGAAAGCATACGCCGCCGCTCCTTCTCATGCTAGAACTACACCTGGTTTGTCTGACGGCTCTGGTGCCTCGCAGGCTTTACGCTGAGGGATGCTGAAAGTCACAGCAGAAACGTAGCTCCGGGAGGTGATTTTTTGTAGGCTCGGCCCAAGGCATCGCCATACGGGCAAAGCTGACAGAAAACACAAAGCTCCAGCCCAAGTCCACCTCTGAAGACAGAAAAGTCTGCTCATAAATAAGATCAGTCAATGAATTTGCATGAAAATAGGTAAGATCCGTAAGTTCCTGACACCAGCCTAGCACCAGGCAAACACGCTGCAAGAGATAAGGAGTTGCTTCCCAGTCTCGTGTTCGGCAGGCCTGGGAAAAATACATTTTTTTTTTCCCTTGAATGACATCAGCTTTGCCTACAGGGTTAATGGTGCAGTCTATCTGCAGCATTGGCAGAAGACTACCTGAAGGTTTATCCCTTTCCCACACGCCCAAGGAGGAGCTCGCTACGAGAGAAGTGAGTGTCCTTTAAGGACAGCAGGAGAAATCCCAATACAGAAGTGCTCGATTTTTTGCTTCACAGTCTGAAGGTCTCACTCAATTAAAACTAATCAGACCCAAACCAATCCAATATGAGGTTTCAGAAAATTCTAATGACAGCCTGTAATTTCCCATTAGTCCACAGAGTTCACTAACCACGGTGTCTCTGCTCTGTTCAGCTTTCCAGGTGCACCAGTCCCTGCAGTACGTACGCAGTCAAGTGTTTCGGTATCAACACATTTAAGAGGAGCTTCGTTTCTCTCCAGAAGGGCTACACTTTCTCCTCTCTGCGATACTGATTTATTACTAAGAGCAGACGGGAAAAGAATCAGCACAGTCCTCCACTAATTCCAAAACAATTGCTAAGGATAAAGGACTAAGACGTAGATATTTAGGTACCAAAGCACACTGTGCAACTCTCACCACCCACAGGAGCAGGGGTGTAATTTGGAGTTCTCTTCACCTGTCAGGTTGAAGATGTTAATTCTAAAAAGGGATTAGTCCATCCAAACGGATTAAAAAAAACAAAAACCCAACCCCAAACCCTTCCCCCTGCCGAGCACGAACAGCGCATTAACGGTTGATTTGTTATGCCTGGCAAATTGTTTGCTGTCCTTTTCTTCTGCTTGACACAAAGCCCCGCAGAAAGCGAGCGCGAACACAACGAGCACGTCCCTGTCTAATGAAGGGGAGGCTGAAGGAGCCAGGGGAGGTTTCAGCAGGAAGCCCGCTGGAATGAGCACACGGATCCCCTTGCAGCCCCGCCGCTGCAGCAGGAGGTGTTAAGACGGAATCTGACGCCCGTTTTGATAGCGCCTGCCTGGGCTACGATCATCGAAGCTTCATTAGTGTCTGCACGAAAAAAAAACAACCCACTACTCCAGAGGTACAAAAATCAGGAAAGATTTTTGCATCCAATTTCTGCCTCGCTGTGAGCAGCAGTTCAAGGTCAAACGAATAAGCCACCCAGGCTGGTATCCTGTCCTGTACACACGCCACGTAGAGCCCCGACTTCTGAACCGGGCTGTGGTCAGAAGGCAGAATTACACAGAACTTCTCTTCATCTACATTTGATCTCCTGGATGAGGAGACAGAGCCCTTCCTCCCCAACCTCTGCAGAGCCAACAGACACCGCAGAATGCACAGCCAAGCCTAACAGCCAGAGCTATGAATGGCCGAGCCATGATCCCCTCTCAAACCCAGTCAAACCAGAAGACCCACGGACTTGCTGGAGCCATGAACTGTGCAGGCTGACCAGGCACTGAGAATTATCTGTGGTCTCACCCTGCAGCTCAGAAAATTACAGCTTGTTTTCTGCTACTTGTCCCACTTCATCTGCTCTGCTAGTGCTTTTTGAGAAAGGTCCTTACTCATTACTTTTCCTGCGACTCTAGCCTCATACTATTAATTCCCTCAGTTTGCCAACACCAACTGCTTCGTCTTCTGTCTTTTCACATCCTCTCCCCATGCCACGCTAACTGGGCAAAGGATTCAGAGATGCCACCTCAAATCTCTGCGTTCACCCGGGGTCCCGGAGGGACTCAATCCTGGTGTGCATCTCCAGCCGCCAGCCTAACGACCTGTCTGCACGTGCACAGATGGGCCACCGGAGTTCAACCTCCGAGAGCTCCCTAGAAGCGCCTCAACTGGCAGAATGATCTTCCAACACCCGCAGAGACCTGCCCCCCCCCGGGTGAACCTGGCAGGTGAAGGAACAGGAGCATCAGCCTCAGTGCTGGATGAGGACGGTGAACCCCGTCTGTCATCCAATGAACTGAAACGGGTGTAAACTGGAGCTGGAAGTTATACTGGCGTCCGCCCGCACTTGGGGAACAGCTACTCCCGTTTAGCCTTCTGATCAGTTAAGAGCGAGATGGAAGTGCTGCCCGGGGATTTTAGCCTACCGTGGGGAATAAGCACGGTTCAGCCTTTGATAGCTGCATTCTGACAGACTCTCTTCCTGAAGTGAAATGGCCCTAAATTGTGTAGAGGCTGAGGCTGTAATGAGCTATAGCACAGCAGGGCTTTCGAGATAGCTGGAGAACGATAAGATCCAATCCCTGGTGTCTGCGAGATAAAGTGGTTTATCTGGGTTTCCACGGAGGGGCGAGTTAGCTGCTAGATCGAGCTGGAAGATAGGGGGCTGGCAACCGAGGAGATGACAACGAGAGATAAGACTCGGCGGATTTTCTGCTTACAAAGCCAGCTGGGCTGAGGCAGGCCGCGCTCCGCAGGAAAAAAACACTTATTCGACACAATAAACAGACTCACTAACCTGAAAGAGGGGAAGGAGAATCCAGCTGTTGGATGAGCTGTGGGAGAGGCAATTCCACCTTCTCCTCCTCCGGCCCCCACCTGCTCTTCCGCTTCTTCTTCGTAGTGCCTGGGGCAGGAGCTGTGGTGGTTGTGGCCGCGGCAGTTGTAGCTGTCTGATCGGGTGGAGTTGTAGAGGATGATGGTGAAGGTGAGGGCGAGGAGGAGGGCACGGCCAAGGGCGAGGGAACGGGCAGGGGCAGAGGTGAGGGAATGGGCAGGGGCAGAGGCGAAGGAACGGGCAAGGGCAAGGGTAAAGGTGAGGGAACGGGCAGGGGCAAGGGCAAAGGCGAGGGAACGGGCAGGGGCAAGGACGATAAGCACAAGGGCGATGGTGAGGCCTCAGGACTGGTTTTCCTTTTCAGACTGGGCTCTCCCGGCAAGGGGGCACACGCAGCGCCGGTTTTGGCCTTACGGAACTCCTCCAGTTTCTGCCGATAATACTTGTAGCCTTTGCTGTTTGGCTCATATAAAAACCTATAAAGAAAAAAAACAAACAAAAAAAAAGAGCAAGTTTAGACAGAACAGCCATATACAGGGGTTGGATACAGCACGGGGTGGTCAGGGCTCTTCTTTCCTGCAAGGCTCTTGCACCACCGGCCTTCCCACCCACTTCCCTGCTCTCCAGCACCATCCCGTGTGTACGTGCATGCAATGCAGGGCTCCGCGGACTCTGGAAAGGCAGGCTGCAAGCCTTTGGGATCAGGAAGCGTAGTTCCCATTCACGAGCAAACCACAGCTATTTTGGGTGCCAAATAAACAGACAGTACTAAAAAGGAGCACGTTTCGGTGGCGGAAACGCAAGATCCTCCCCCAGAATTCACCTGTCTTCCAGAACGCGCTTGGAAAAACTGCCAGGGCTCCGCAACCCGTCAGGTTTCAGTTCACAGAAGAAAACAAACATTCAGGTCTTACCAATGGGAACGCTAAACCACTGCCTGAAGAAACTGCTCCCAAGCCCTCGATTCGAGCTAGAAGTGTTGACATTACCAGTCTGCTTAATTACACCACGACTCCTCCTTCTGTTCCCTCACACGCAAAACAACATTGCTTTATTTGCTACCCCTTCCAGAAATAGGCATCTCTGACCTTTTGGGTAAAATAAAACTCCTTAGTCTCTGTGGGAAGAACATGAACAATCCTCAACCTAGCAGCTACGCAAAAAAAAAAATAATAAAAAAATCAATATAGTCATGTTTGTTACAAACCCGTTGTCTTTTGGGGCTCACTCTGGTTTAAATACTTCGCACAGAAAACCTGTCTATTCCTAACTGCTCTACAATCTCCCCTTTTGAGGGGACATGTTTAACACTTGATGTAACCTCTCCTCAGGGTAGTGCCTGCTCCCACAGGAAAACACAAGAGATGACAGGCCTTCCCCATCTATCAACACAACATGCACAGGGCAAACACGAACGGCTCTCTAATGTGTTTTAAAATTCACTCAATGTGGTCTTGCACCCCTCCCATTTGAGTAACACCATCGAGGACTCCTGCAGGACCTAGCAGAGGGCAGGATGGGGCCCTCCCCACGGCAAACCTGAAGAAATCCTAACAGAGGAGATCGTGTTGAACTTGACCGTGCTCAGGGGGGGATCACGGCGGTGTTTTAAAAGTAAATAATGAAGCAGCTCAGATATTAGCACATCTGTCTGATGCAATTCACCGCGCAAGAGGAGCACTCCGGAGGGCCAGAAGGCAGCCAATAAAATGCCAAAATATCAGCAACAAAGTCAGGCTTGCTGAGCCCCACTTCACTTCCAGGGAACAGACCAAATTGTTTGTAAGAGCTGAAAAATGAAACGCGGATGAGACCAAAGGGAGGCATTAAACAGCTGTCAGTGAGCTCTGAAGAGAACAACTCGCACCTGAAAGGCTGAAAAAGATATTCCAAAGGGGGACCTAACGGTGAAAGAGTGCTACCTGTACGGGAGTGGAGATGCTGTGAAAAGAGCAACCCAGGAATTAATTGGACAGCAGCGGTGTGAGTGGTGGATGGGGGCCCACACCCAAGCACAGCTACAGGGAGAAGTATAAAGGTTAGAATTATACTGGTACATTGCAACAGCAAGCAGGTGAGGAGGGGTGGAAGTCGTAAATTGGGAAAAGCGAATCGATTTCTCCCCCTCTGTGCCTTGCTTTAGACTGAAAAGCTTGAGAATGCAAAAGTACCAGCGCTACGGAAGCACGCTGTGCTTGGAACTTCAGAGCGATCACAAGCTTGTCTTATTTCCCCTTAAAAAAAAAACCCAACAAAGCAACATTTCCCCTTAAAAAACCAAACCAACAAACAACAACCAAGACCCATCCAAGCTCCCCCCCGTCCCAGGCAGCAGCAGGTTCCTCCCCTTACCTGAAAGCATGGTTCTCTCGGTTGTTCTGCAAGGCAATAGCTTCCACCTCGGGACCCCCGTCTGCTATGAACCTGGCCAGTTTCTCAGCAGAGTTCTTTGTCTCTTCGTCGTCTGGGGGTGAAACTTTAAGCAGGCTGTCAGTACTGGGCCCAACTCACCCAAGCAACAGTCAAAGCCTATCTGTTCTAAGAACCCCAAGAGCAGAATAAGGGCAAAAGGTCGAGTTTAATTTTTAGAAATATCACACATCAACAGTCACAGAGTTCATAGCACAAGAACACGATATTGCACATGGTTGTACAACAGCTTTGCAACCCGAGGAGTGCCCGTTCACACAGCAGCCTCCTCCGTGCCAGGAGCCAGACGAGAGCAGATCTAACGGACAAACCAGCTTTTGTCTTCAGAGAGGGACATTTGTTTCGCTCTACCGTGGAGGAAGTTTTGTTTCTTCCCCGTGTCAGGCACTTTTCCAAGGGTTACACCTCAGCACTTGCAATTATCTCTAGTTAAACCACTTTGCCACTGACGTCCCCAGGAGCAAGGGGAAAGCCTTAGGAAAAAGTGGCAAACTAATCCTGCACCGCAATCCCAGCCGTCCCTACTGCCACCACGCATCTGCTGGCCATTTCGGGGGAGGGACGGAGGAAATTCTCCACAGACCAGTCCCAGTCCTCACTTGGAAGAGGCAGCTACTGCAGCCTTCGCCCAAAGGCACAGAGAAGGCTCTGATCATTAATATTTCAAGCATGTTTGGTGTTTATAAGGAGCCAGGCAAATACGTTATTTAGCCACGCCATCCTTATGTGACATTTGCTACCTGCACAGTACCAGTGCCAGTACTCCAGTGGGCTGGCACAGGACCAGGAGGCAGAAGACATGATTATAAGCCATGGACAAGTCATAACCTTCCCTCGCTTCAATATTCCACACCTGTAAAGTATGGATAATACTGCTTAGCTTCCCAACTGTTGTATCGGTGAGCTGATGCTGGTAACGAGCTCCTTCAGCCTACAGTCTATTAAACCACGGTTTGTTTGAGCCAAATGGCGTGAAGGCTCCTTTCCACAGAAAAAGCTGACACCGAGAGGGCGAGTGATTCGCCAGGGCCACACAGCAGCTGGACGAGAAGCGATAAAGGCCCGGCCCACAGACCACACTTCACCCACTAAATCATTTCTGTCTCCCCACAGTTAACCAGGTTCCACCGCTCACACCACCTGTCTGGGGGCGGTTCATCCACTGCTGCTGTTTTCCCACCTGAAAACACAGTCCCTGACTTGCAAGGATTTACGTTCCAAGCAGAAAACAAAAGCTTCAGATAAGGAAACGGCAGCAGAAATGGGGATGACGTTCATTTTCCATCATTTTCCTTTTCAACAAATCACATAAGAACACCTGAGGAAAAGCACTTTTCCTAAACGCTTTTTCAGGGCTGAAGCACCTTCCAGAACACAGACAATGGAGAATCATTTCAGTTCACTTGAAGTATTTTGGAGAAATGGAAGGAAAATCTCTTTCAAGAGCCCTCTACGGCACAGCATGCTGCGGGACTGGGAAACAGCCGCTTTGGCACACGAGTCTGACGCCATCACGGTGATGTTTGATCACCACCTCCCTCCACTTTGAAATTTTGTTTACAGGCAGCAGACTGACAGCCAAATATCCACTCCAGCTGCTTCCAGAACAGACCTAACAAGCAGTTGCAGAGAGTGAAGACATCAAGTTTAACTCATGCAATCCAGATTCTCCAGACCCCAGTCTTAATTACCTTTCTGAGAAGAGGACGCCTGAGAACTTTGATTCTCTTTTCTTATCTCTGCCACTTTCTTTCTGTAGTAAAGGAATTCTCTGCTGTTCTTATCATGCAAAAACCTAGGGTGGAGACGGAGGAGAAAAGGGCAAAAAGTATGCATCAGCAACAATGACACAAACACTGATACTCTGGGATATAAACAGCCCAAAACCCCAAAATACAAAATAGATAAATTACTCGGAACGCCCTTAAAATGTGGATTACAAAGTCTTCAACATAAACACACGTAGCTTTAATCTAAGGACTTGCATCCCTTTTTTTTGTGTCCACTTCCAGTGAAACAAGTAACAGGCTCTTCTGACACAGGAGGGAATCCTCTGCCCGCAGCCACGCAGCGCGTCAACGGCAGAGGAGACAGAACCAGTCCCGAGATCGAGCCCAGTATCCCCATTACTCATTACAAAGCTCAAACCCACCCAAGGATAATTAAACCAAACCCACTCAGGAGAACTATAGACCCAAGGCTGATGTTTTTCTCCTACAAAGAGACCGTGTTCTGCTTTGGAAGACCACAGTTATCGCCGCACTTACGAAAAAGCTGGGTTATCCTTGTAGTCTTCCATAGCGACCTTCTCTAGCTCTGGTCCCCCTTCAGCCACGAACCGAGCCAGCTTTTCCACCACTTGTCGGGTCTCTGCATCCTCTGGGGGTAAAACTTTAAGCAGGCTGTCAGTACTGGGGTTCAACTCACACACCAAACAGGCAACAGGTACATTACTTCTAAGAACCACGGTGGCAGACAAAAGTGGAATGGGAAGAAAAAGGATGAAATGGGGGATCCAGTCTTACACAGCCGTAGAAATCACAATTGCTAGCTTACTGTCAGCGCCCTGCGCTAGCAGGACGTCAATGTTTTGTCTCGATTTCTTCCTACCACGAAAAGCCTAAGGTTGGGATCACCACAGTTTAGGGGGCAACTTCAATCACAACGGAATTTGTTCGTGACCATTCTACTCCCCACAAGACACAACGGGGAGGAACAGGAAACTGGCTTTAACCACCACATTACTCACTGAAGCTCCAGATCCCAGTTCCCAAGACATCGCTCTGTACCCAGCTAGCACAGACAGACTGTATAGCTGGAACATATAGCTCTTCCTCCTGGCATATGCCCATGTCTCAGCCCTCGCTTGGAGGGAATCCCACCAAAGAGGAGAGCTCAGTCTCCACGAAACTGTGTTTTGGCTTCTGTGCCAAGAAAGGAACCCACCGACAGCGATTACGGAGCTGATGGAGGACACATCGACTGGGAACTAAACAGGCATGTGTCTAGACACAGTATTTTGGGTAGAGCATGGAGGAGCAGAGCTGTCCACACTGATCTAGACTAGATTCGAACCCATGATCTTTAAGTTGAGGGTCCACATTCCATCTGCTCTCCGCAGCCAGCGGCTATTTCTCACATTCCTGCAGCGCATTTCACGGTTAAGTTCAGCCTTGCTAAGATTATGCTTTTATAAACCCCACCAGAAATAGCCAGACATGGTTTTGTAAACCTATAATGAAATAAATTATGACACAAAGCTTTAGTGTGACTTATTTAGCAACTCCAATCTAATTTTATACTTGATTAATACGCACGCATGAAATTCAGATTACTAAGCAAATCTGCCTTTTGGCTTCCCAGCCTTGGTTATCCAGATGAACTTGGTTATCTACGTGCTGCAGGGCTCTTCAGTGGTTCTCTGCCCTACCTAAAGCAGGCGGGACCTAGAGGTGAGATTTCCTAACGAGACTTTGAAAAGAGGCAGGAACTTTGATTTTACCTGATCACGGTTCCCTGCCCAACATGTAATCTTGTTTATCGACACATATGATTTCCCCCCCCCTACACTGCCACTCCCAAACCGAGGGCTTTTCATTTTCCATCGTTTAAAAAAACCAAAATTCCATTTAAACACAAAGCTTTCTATTTATGCATTCCCTAGAGAACCCGGCACCAAGCACACCACATTTCAACAAAAGCAGAATTTTTACGATCAGCAACCAGTTAAGCTCCATCAAGAGCAGAACATATTTCTTTCTCTACGCATTGTTTTCCCAGAGACTTACGGACCCAAGGGCTTGCTTTGAGAGCTCTGAGAAAACAGCTCTGCCCAGGCCCAAACCAGACCCAGTCTACCCATGGCGAGTGACCCACCTCCTGTACCGAGCTCAGTGGGTCAGCAATATCTAACAGCATCCAGCCCTCAGCTTTTCTGCTGAAGCTGGCTTTGGAGGAGTCCCCCAGCATTAACTGGTGCCATCTGCACCCCACGATGCAGAACTCTGCGTGCAGGAACTGTGCTAACAACCCCAATTCCCAGCTTGAGTTAAAAAAAAAAAAACCCAACCCTCCCCTGGGGAAAAGCACTGAAGGAATCCTCCTCCCACCCTCAACTCATCCCCAGGGCAGGTGGAGCTGCCCCCCCCC